CTACTACTACTACTACTACTACTACTACTACTACTACTACTACTACTACTACTACTACTACTACTACTATTGTACTACAGTTTAAATTGGAACGATACATTTGTGGTTTAAAGGCAATGGAATCTCTCTTCAACATGAGCTGGAGTGTCATCTAATCATCAGTTGCTGCAGTACCCAATACCAACCCCTGGGTTCAAATCCCATAGACAGTTTTGAAGGTTTTTGATAATTTTTGTGGCAAAGCTACAAAAGGTCGTCTCTGTCCACGAAAAGTTCGCAAAGGAACCTGATGCACTGATCCGTTCCTTGTCTCCTCTGCAAAACATAAATACTTATACTTATAACTTATACATATAATACATATACATATATTATATACACAGTATGTTTTGTAGACTTGGACATCTTCGATCCAAGACCGGGCTTGACTTAATGTGTCTTCCGCCCCACGACACCCAACTGCTGAACTCATCTGCTTCCTTCTCAAACTGTAGTTAGTTCTGGGAACGTCTTTTGAGACCGACCATGGCAAACTCGCTTGGATGAGAGATAGATCTATAGCAAATTTCCACAGGTACTGAAAAGTTAAAATGACACTCGTCGACGGGCATGCAAGAGACCTCGGTGCTTGTCAAACAAGAGACTTGCTTCGTGGGAGCTGTGCTCCGATCATGCTTACACGTGGACCACGGACCTGAAGGCACACGATGCATAGAACGGAGCGGTTTGTGTAGGCGCAGGCAGGCAGTGAACAGGCAGGCAGGTTGGTCGTCCAGGACGGTTTGTATATCGACACACCGAATTCGAGTGGTGACACGAACCGATTGATTCAATTAATTGCATGGAAGTGGACACCCACCACAACGCAGTGAAACGTACGGATGACGAGGGTTGTCATCCTTTTCAGGTCAGTCCATGCCGTACGGTACATCAACCATGAGCTTCGGAGGGTTTTTTTCTCATCGGTCCTCCTACGAAAGACCCGTTCGTGGTGCGAACCTCACCTATAGCAAAGGGGCTTAAGAAGGGGCTCCTGACCAAAGACCCATGTGATCCCAGGTGGTTTCCTCTCAATCACAAGAATGTAGCAAAAGACCCACGGGTCTCTTAAGCAGGTCATACGAAAGCAGGTCAGAAGGCGGTAAGGGGAGACGTCCTGGTCCCTTCTCGTCTCGCGGTCATATGCGTTGCCCCCTTCATCTCCTACTTCCTACTTAAAGGAGTAGGAGCAGCATGGAGCTCAGGCACACCCAGAGCAGCCAAAACTGGAAGCCTGAATATATTGCTTCCCATTCTAGAAGAAAGAGTGTACGTTCCATGTCATGGATACCCATGTTGGTATGCCACTTCCTCTGTATGCTACTTCCTTGAGGAAGCATCAACTATCAACTCTTCACAACAACATCGAAAAACAAAATCAGTGACTGAAACCGTTGTTAAGAACCAACAGGGCATCTTATCCCGCTTCTACCCAAATCCATCCAAGATCAGGACCTCAACGACTTTTCACCGGAGATGACGCTGCGCTTTCGGGGTGCCAAGTGAGGGACAATGAGGGGACCCTGCCCACTGGGTCCTCGAACCGACGCCAAGTTCTGCGACCTTCTGCAGCAGTAGTCGTTCTCCACATCAACATCGGACTACTCGATGCATCCGTCGATGCACATCCGGTGACGACCGAGCGGACCACAAGCCGAGCGGTGCGGACGACCCGAACCGACCCAACCAACACGACCGCGTCGGGAGCGCCTCGGCAGCGGAAGGCTTGGGAGATCTCTCGGCCTACGAGACGCGGTGGGCGACGCGAAGGGCGAACCGTGGCGACGTGGTGGGGGTCCTTCGCCAAGTCTCCGGGGAAATGACCTGAAACAAATCATAGGGTTTTGTGGCAAGGACTTGCAAGGACTGAACCCTGTTTGGGAGTGGATCTTCGCACAGAACTGCAGGTGACTATTGTGAAAGGCTGCACAGGTTCACTGGCCAGTTCTGTGGATGTGGACCTTCTGTGGACCTATGGTATATTACACTTAAATAATGAGTATGAACATATTTAATCATATTTATATATATAGACTGGGATTCTGAATGCACACTCATGGCCCTGTGGTTCAACACAGGCGGGTTGGATATCACCAGATTCAGAAGACTTGGGATTTGTTTGGCCAGGGCCGCCACAGCAGCAATCCATTTGGACTTGCTGCTGTAAGTGATTCGTCCGATTTTCACATCGAAAGAAAGACTGCCAAATAGCTGTTTTAGTCGTCACATCCACAACAAACCGGCCACATCGAACAATATTTTGTCACTATCATTGGTCTTTGAGCGTAGGCTGTCTCTTCCAGCCAGCAACAATACAGCCAAACCTCTTGTGAATCTTCAATAATTTGGGAAATAACACATGTTGCACAGAAGCGCAACTTCTGTCACTGGATTTCTTCCAAAGTCTTTGGACCACTTGTTTTGAACCGCTCAAAGGGCCCTGCGTAAGGTGCGAAAATCTAAACTCCGCTGCTGCTCTGGGCTTTGCTCGTGCTGCAATTCTTACAGCGCCGTTTCATCACGGCCGAGGAGTGCCGAATGCGAGGGCAGCTGGGTGAGACATGAAAGCATTGTCCTGCCCTCTCAGTGATCCATACGGTGTCGTAGTCGACTGACACCATCGTGATCGGCTCGAGGTTCAACTGCCTCTTCGAAGGACCTGATTCTGAGGTCTCTGAACTGGTGCTGTCCTTTCGTGGACTTGCCTCTGGCTCTGGCTTCTTCTTTTGGGGCTCTTGAGGCTTCTCAGGCCTGCTCAGCCACTTGATGAACTCTTCCATCGCTCGGAGGAGCACACAGGAGGCGAAGATGATGCCAAAGAAAAACCAATCCTGACCATCTTGGCCTTTCTCCTGATCTGGCTGGCCATTCACTCCACTGACCAGCATGGCCATCATCATCCACTTCCAAGGCTTCGGGGTGAAGCCTGCCACCATGGTCATCATGACCTTTTGCGATCCTTCATGGATCTTCTTCTTGATCTCCTCATCGCTCTTGTAGAGGTCGGCCTCAGTCAGCTCTTGCAGAACTGGTAGCCGTCGAAGCTGGATGAAATGCTTCAGCTCATTCCATACCTCCACAAATCCTGAACTCAGGAATTGCATCATCTGCGGAGCCAACATAGGCTTCGTCAGGCAGTCTGCCAACATTGATGCCGTTGGAATCAGCATCACATAGCGTGCCCTGCCCGACACTCGTGCCTCCTTGTAGGCGAGCACGTACAAGCGCTGCTGCTTGTCCTGGGGCACAGCTTTTGCTCCAGTGGTCAACTCAAAGAAGTCGCGGCAGTCGGTCATGAAGTCGACCGGAAACAGCGCAGAGCCACTCTCTTGGGCTTTCGTCAGCTGCTTCAGGCTAGGTGCAACGTCAGGCATCCAAAGCTCGGTCAACCGGGTGGAAACCATGGAACTTGCTTCCAAACCATTCACTCCCGCTAGGGTCTCTGAATGGGGGGTGGAATATGACACCCTTTTAGACTTACCACCGTGAGCATACAAAAGATGACCAAAATTTGACAAGGTGCTGGCTTCTTCAGAAGTGCACTGCAGCTCATCTTGACGAAGAATGTGCTGGGGCAGCTCTGGCATGACAAGCACCAAAATTCCTTCCTGCGAGTAGCAGCGTCCTTTAGGTGCAGATGCTGCATCATGAATGCATTGCAACCTCAACTTGGTGCCAGGAGGAAAGAAATGGTAGTGCAAGCCAAGCTCCTTGCGATCATCAGCACAAAACTTCTTTACCAGCTGGTTCGCTTGTCGTAGGTGGTGAACTCGTGCATCAGGAACAGCTGACTGCAAAACCCCAGTGTCTGCAACAACGTCCATCCTGGATGAGCATAGCCACATCAATCCACCGATCACCGATCGGAACTGGGTGATCTCAGCAGGCGTCAGCTTGCGGTCGTCAGCTCCAGGTGGATCATCAACTGGTCGCAGCCTTGATGCAAAATCAGCTTGATCCATCTTCAGGCCGGTCTCGGTCTTGGAGTAGCGGCAGCCACAGTGTGCAAATGGAAGGCAATCCTTGGTGATCTTTCCAAATTCTTTGCACATGTCGCCATAGAGCTGGTTGAGGAAAGTCGGGGAGCCAACCACTGCCAAATCATCAACATGGGTTGTGAGGACTGCCTGCAAAGACGGTGAGGCCTTCGGATTCTTCCAGTGGTAAAAACTGTCATCCAGGTGACTTGGAACACCTTTGCGCTTCTTCAGAAACTCGCCAAGGCTCAACTGCCAAGCCACAGGGGCATCGTTCAAGCCGTAGACGGGCTTCAGACACCATAGTCCGTACTCAGGGATCTCATGAGGTGCCACGGAGAAAGAAGCATCTTCTTTGGCCAAATGGCGCCAGCAGTTGTATGGTGGGATGACCACCACTGAACGTACAGGCGTCTTGATGCCTTGCTGGAGTAGAAGCTCTCGGATGCGATCGAAGGTGAGGCCTTTCAAGAAAGCGCCACTCACATCCCAGCTTTCAGGACAGGTGCCCATCACTGCTGCAGTCGATAGCAGTAGTCGCTGGGAAAGGCGACTTGCCGTAGTAGATCTTGTGCTCAGCTCAGCCTTCTGTGGGTCGAAGCAGCCGCGGGCGCACATGCAGCTTTTGAGGATCTTCTTGCCTTGCTTGATCTTCCAAACACGGACCCACACTCCATCGATGATGACGGTGCCGTCAGGAACCTCATGGAGCTTGATCTTGACGAAGGCTTTCTCTTGCACGAACTGTGCAAGTTCTTTGGCATCAGCTTCCTCCACCTGTTCCCAAATCTCTGCTAGGTCCTCCTCCTTCACATTGTTGTCCTCAGCCAAGGAGTGAAAACTTCCACCATGTGCCAAGTCGAGATGGTAGTAGCGCAGCTTGTAGCTTGGTTGATGAACCAAAGGCTTTGCATGCTGCTGTTGCACTGCTAGATGGCGAGACTTGGAGTGGTAGATGACATTCTCCATGGTGAGGTTGACATACCAGCGAGGAACGCGCATCATCTCGTCCCAGACATCAGAGAAATGCACTCGATGATGTCGTTGACGATCCAGCATCCATTGAATTGTGTGAAGATTCTGGTAGGTGTCAAAGGAGACCAGGAACTCATCAATCCGGGTCCTCTTCTCTGGATGCATGCTTGGAGATCTGCTTTCTGGGACGTAGCGCTTGGATGGAACAATAGGCAGAGTGGACTCAATCTCCATATCTTCTGGTGGTGGTAGCGGAGCTGGTGCCACATCCATAGGCGCTTGTGGTACTTGAGGTAAAGCAGGAGGTGGTTCCTCTTGGATGCTGAGCGGGAAATACATGAAGTAGAGCACACACATGCTCTCCCAGTGCTGGTAGTAGGACTTCTTCAGCTTCATTGGACAGTCATCCATCTTGGTCACCTTCACGTAGTCAGTGGTGTTCTTCAACCATATCAGAATGGTGCCTCTCGTGGATGAAGGTGGACGGAGTGTATGAAGTGCCTGTCCGTACAGCAAAGCATGTACAGGATGTTGAAGCCAGCTGGACCATTGAGAGAAGGACGCTAAGCACTTTTCTTGTGCTGTTGAAGGTGTAGAAGGACTCTTCAACCAAGTGTGCCCAGAGGAACTCAAAGTGAGCTTGTAGCCGAGGAAGTGCTGGACATAGGGATTTGATTCTTCCACCAATTGCATGGTCTTGTAAATCTCCTCATTGGTGGTGTCCATGTTGAAAAACACACCTCGGAAAGGACGCACGAAGCGAAGTGGTAGTAGATAAGGTCGTCCTTGATGCTTCACAACTGAAGTTCCTTCGTCCTCATTGACTTCCAACAAAGTCGCAGGTCCTCGCCAGCAGTTGTCCCGGTAGATCTCAATCTGGGAAACTCCGGGCGTCATCTCTGAAGTCTCCACCTTGTGAGGTCGTGACCTGGAGGCTCTTGCAATGCGATCTTCAGCAATTGACTGCTGGATAGCCACCAAAGAGATCTGGCGAAGCCTCATTGCACTCTCAAACACTGAAAGGTCACGGTCCAAAGCTCCACGCACTGCAGTCAAAGTGTCGGACTCAAACTCATAGAGAGAGCGTGGAAGGACTCCAAAAACGGCCATTGCAGGAGAGTAGCCGCCATAGGTGAGGCACAGGTTGTGGCTCATTGCAGCTTCCATGCTGATGTCGTTGTCCTCGCTCTTCAGGCCTTGCCTCTCACATTCAGCTTTCATCTTCCTCATAGTCAGCTTGATGAGCTCAACGTGTCGCTCGATCAAGCCAGTGCCAGTGTGCTGCTTGCCAGCTTCTCCAGCGGTGGTTCCTTTGGGGTTGCGAGTGATGCCCAATCTCTCACATTCGATGGCCACTGCTGATGACATCAAAGCAGGCTCTTGATCACTTGTGAGAACTCGCATTGGCCCAAAGAAGCGAACCCAGTTGGCGTAAATGCCAGGTAGAAGATCTTCAGCATCACGGCTTGGTGTGAGGAAGGCAACCTTGTAGCGAGTTGCTACATCCACCATGAGACAAAAGGCCTTGTCCCACAGGAAGAAGATGTCCATCTCAACTTCATCTCCAAAGTGAGCGGCCAATGAGACCTTGGTGCGAGGTCGAGCTGGTAGGCGAGAATAGCGGCGACAAATGCCACAAGAGGCCACAGCTTCGGCGGACATCTCAATGACTTCAGGAGGCATGCCAGCCTTGAGCAGGAGGCTTGCAAAGTCTCTGGCGGTTGCATGCCATAGCTTCTCATGTAAGCCAAGTAGGAGTCGCTTGGCCGTGGCAGGTGCAGTCTTCACTGC